GTTGTTTGAAAAGATAAAGGAAGTAGGCGAACCTTTAGCTAGCCCAAGAATAAAAGGGAGAAGACCCGAGTAAATAAAATACTTAGGAATAAATTTAACCAAGGAAGTGAAGGATCTGTATACTGAAAATTATTATAAAACACAAATGGGAAAGTGTCCTGTGTCATTGGAAGTAATAATACTGTGAAAAATGTCTCCATCACCCAAAGTGATCTACAGATCCAATGGGATTGCATTAATTAATTAATAAACAACAAAACAAAATTAAAAAAAACAACCAACAGAGTGAAAGAGACAACCTGAAAAATAAAGGAAAATATTTCTAAAGCAGACGTTTAATAATGGATTAGTATCTAAAATATAAAAGGAATTCAACAACTCAATAGTAAGAAAACATAATCTGATTAAAAATTGAGCACAGAACCTTATTAGATATTTCTCAAAAGAAGACCTACAGTAGCCAAGAGATCAATGAACAACAAGAAGAAAAAGGTCAACATCACTAATCATCAGAGATCTGCAAATCAAAACCACATGAGTTATCACCTCCCATCTATGAGAATGACCATCATCAAAGACAGAAACTAACAAAAATTGGAGTGGACACAGACAGAAGGGAACCCTTGGGTTATGTTGGTGGGAATGCAAATTGGTACAACTATCATGGAGAACACTATGGAGTTTCTTCAAAAGATTAAAGCCAGAACTAGTATATGATCCAACAATCCAATTTTAGGTTTATAGCCAAAGGAAATGACGACAAAGAGAGATGTCCACTCCTATGTCCTTTGCAGCTTTATTCATATTAGTGAAGATATGGAATCAACCGAATGTCCATCAATAGATGAAAGGATTAAGAAAGTGTTGTGTGCATGGTGTGTGTGTATGTGTACATACAATGGAATATTTTTCAGTCTTAAAAAGAAGGGACATACTGACACTCAATGCAACATGGATAGATGTTGAGGACATTTGCTAAGTGAAATAAGCCAGGTATTAAAGGGTAAGCACCATGTGGTTCCAGCTAGGTGAAGTACCTGGAGTAATCAAGCTCATAGAGCAGAAAGCAGAACGGTGGGAGGCTGGGGGAGGAGGATTGCATTTTAATGGGTACTTTCAGGGAGGGAGAGAAAGTTCTGGTGCTAAGCAGCCCTGGCTTGGCCAAAGGAAGAAGATGGCCATGCAGCTCCTGCTCAGAAGACCCTGTGACGCTACTTGCCCTGTAGCCCTGGCAGAGGTCCTCTGTGAACCTGGGTTTTCTGGGTTGTCCCTAGGCAACCTGACTAAGCCCCCAGCATCCCTGGGCCACATGCACCCGTGTCCCCCCCAGCTTGCCCTCCTCAGACATGTGTAGATAGTGTTGTCCACCAAAGCAACTGGGACCTCAGTGAAGATGAGATCCTCACACTGCTTCCGTACGTACCTAACAGATCTCAGCAGATGGCCTGCTGCTGCCTCTACACACAGGTGACACACGAGAGGACAGCCACTCAGTGCTCCGAAACTTTGCCCTCTTGGTGAGTAGGTATGGAGTCCACAAATGCTTCCCTGATGCAAGACAGCCTGGAGCCTAGAGCAGCTCACCTGTTCTAGAAGCTTCCTTTCATGGGTAGGCACTGAGGCCCTGAACAGGATCTCCCCAGGACTGCTAGGTACGTGAGTGACAGACCTGGGGCCCAGTCCTTCTGGCCCACGCTCCCTTCACACCACGGGCCTGCTCCCGTCCCACCAGCCAGGGTTGTAGGGACCCAAGTCCACAGACGACCCCAAACTTTGTTCTTGGTGCTGAACTCCTTTCTTCCCCAGATTGGTCTTTAGAAACACTCAGAAATGATAAAGTGACTTTATTGGTAGTTTTCCTTCAGTTCTCAACTCAGTTCAATAAACAGCCAAATAAAACAAGAATAAATAAAATAAATAGGCAGGAGAAAAATCATAATAATCAGAACATTTCTCAACGGTAAAGTGTCAGTGATGGAAGAAGTGAGTCATGTTCTAGAGAATTCCGCCGGCGAGTATTTTCCCTCCCTCTTCAGATGGAGCAACGGAGCCACAGAGGCACTCGAGGGGTGGCTGCGAGGAAAGAGAACCAATCATGTAGCACATTTAACTAAAACCACACACACCAGTCCACGTTATCCTGTTCACCAGAGCCACCAAGGTATGCTTCATCCCTCTGTAAATGTCTGTTCCCTGCAGCACAGAGCAACAGTTCCCGGAACTGCATCCAGCGTGCCTTGAGGATGATCATAGTTGTGGTTTCAGAGATGCTCCAATAGCATTTATAGAATACTGTGAAATTTACAGGTAAGCATAGGAATCTATGCTTAAGAAAATATTCGTTTTGGACAAGTGATCTATCAGACAGAGTGACAGGATTTGGAGATGTGGGAGTGAGTTCAAATAATAAAGAAACATCTCATTGGGCATTTT